TTGGTCTTCATTCACTGAGGATTCTGGGTTCCCAGCACCGTGCTGTCGCCCTGGCGCCCTAAGAAACATTGTGGGCATGGCCCCTGCCCTTACCTGGTAGGTTGGGAGGAGAAAGGCCTGGCTCATGTAATGATGGGAACACACAGAGGGACGTGGTCACTCGGTCACCCAACATTTCTTGAGCTCCTGCTCTGGGCCATGCATAGTGTTAGGCAATAGGAATTCAGAGATTTAAAGAAAACAAACATACAAAATCAGGTCTGGGGAGAACATTAGAAGCCATCGCAGCTATTAGAAGTTCAAGGTCAGATACATCATTGGTATGAAGACAGAAAGGAAAGCCCAAGGCGGGTGGTCTGCCGAGGGCTCCTCGGCTCTGCCTGATTCAGCTCACACGGTCACTGTCACGGTCACGTGGGAAGTTGGTCTGTTCATCCCATTTGCTCTGCCCGCATGTGCTGTAGTAATTGCCGAAGGGAAACTTGAGGTTCATGGCATCAGAGCGGGTCTTCAAGGTCTATGAGCGAAGTGGTTGCAGAAGGGCAGGTGTGGAACCAGGGGGGCCAGGCCCTAGCCAGGCACCTCCCTCCTTGGGGGTTCCTGTCTACAGCAGAGTCCAGCTCAGGACCGAACGTGTCTGGCCATCCGCCACAAAGGAGGCAGAGGGGCCAGGGCGGGGCTCGGCACGGAGGACAGGGGTTCTAGTGAGGGACCCAGGCCGTCCTCTGCTCCTGGGCTCGGCTCCTGATCTGTAAGCAGAGGACATGGGCCTGTGGTGGTATCCAGGCCCGTTCAGTGTCTCTGCCCCGACTCTGGGAGGAGCGAAGTGGGGCCTCCTCCATCTTTGCCCCCCTCCCCAGGCCAAAAACTTGTGTGCTGAATTCTTTACCTCATATCTCACATCCCACATCCAATCTATCTTCAAAATGCATCTGCATCCTGTATTTATAAAATACTTCAGTAAAACATACACATTAAAAAATAAAACAAGAAGGGAAAAATCTAGAATTTGACCACTTCTCACCACCTTCAGGGCTGCAGTCTTGGTCTGAGCCACCATCACCTCGTACCTGAGTTACTACAACTGCCCCTCTCATTCTCTCTGCTCCACCGTCCTCAGCCCAGTGTCTGTCATCCGACCCTGTCCCTCCTCTCCTCACCCCTCCCAGGGCTCCCCATTTCCCTCTGAGTAAGAGCCAACATCCTTCCAATGCCCTGAAGTCCCCCATGATCATTTTCACCACCCCTTGACTCCACCTCCTGTACCCTCCCTGTCTCTCCCTCCACCTGAGCCACCGGCCTCCATGCTACTCCTGAAGGCTCCAGGCACGCTCCCTCCTGAGGACTCTGCCTGTCTGTTCCCTCTGCCTGGAAGGCGCTTCCCACAGGACTCACCCCCTCCTCCTTCGAGTCTTTGCTGGAACCTTCCTAATAAGTCCTATGCTGACCACCCTTCTTAATACTGCTCTCTCCCCACTGTCACTTCCCATCTCTTAGTCCCGCCCTCCCAGTCTTCTCTGCCACCTGATGCACCAAATACATTCACTGACGGCCATTGCTCATTGTCTGTCTACTCACTAGAATATCAGCTCATGAGGGCAAGGACCTTTGTTGCCTTAAAAAGCACTGACGTATGCATTGAATGATATGAGGTCAGGGAGAATGTAGAATGTGAAGGAAGTTCAGGTAGCCCAGAGGGAGAGGAAGAGATGAGGTGGGCATGGCCGGGCCAAGGCGGGCCTGTGGTCTCTCGGAGAAGTCTGGGAGCAGGGTGCCCAATGTTCTGAGCAGCCCACCACTCTCCCCCTGTGAGAACTTGGGCAGCTCAACCTCCTTTAGCCCCAGTGTCCTCGTGGGCAACCCCGTGGCTGGTGGGAGGCTGTGCGGCCATCGCAGGGACTCGGTAACGTCCATTCCCTTCGCCACTCGGCACTGTTGTTGGAGGAGCGCCCTGCCTCATAGGGGACCGATGTGGAAGGTGGATGTCTTTTTACAACAGCCTCTGTAAAGTTTGACCGGCCGTGATTCTTGCTGTCGAGCTGAAGCCATCGGTCAGTCCTGGAGGTGGAGCGGTCGTCACACCCTCTGCCAAGGGCCTGCTGGAGGCTGTGCCCCACAGGGAGATGTCACTGCTTTAGGATGACTGTGCGCTGAGTGTTGGTCAGCTATGGCTGGTGGAGCCGCTGTCCCCCATTCCCACTCCTGGGGTGTCTGTGGAACTGTGAAGGGCATGGGGACCAGCAGGTGTGGGGACTGTGGTCTATGGCAGCGTGGGTGTGGCTGCAGGCCCTAGCGGGGGCGGCGGGCTGGGGGTGGCAGGGACTGAGGTGACTGGGTTTCTGGGACAGTGCGTGAATGGCTGACGGCTTGTGGGATGGGCCAGGCATTACTGAGCTCACTAAGGAGCAGAGTCACATCCAGATGTGAGAACAAAGAGAATGGATGGAGTGTGGCCCCAGGTGCTGAGAGGGGAGAAGGGGAATCCAGACTGTCCCCAAAGCCTTGTCACTGGACTGAGCAGCCTCCAGGTACTGAGCACTGACCTTGTCCAGGCCCAGGGCTCCCTTCATCCACAGAAGACCCGACCCATCTTCAGGCAGATGCTGTTAACATCCCAGGGCACTGAGGCTCAAGGCCACACAGCTGGCATGTGGCAGAGCGGGGGACCTGAGCCCCACACTGATGCTCCCGCCCTGGGATTCTCCTCCACGGGCTTGTCCCAGACGGAATCCAGTCTTGGAGAGAGGAGGGTGAGGCAGTGTAACCCAGGAGGCTGCTCCAAGGGCTTAAACATGCCCTGGTTCTGGCCAAGCCACTGAATTGTGCGGCTTCGTTCATCCATGCATACATCTACTGCACAAATGTCCAGTGTGCTGACACTGGGCTGGGCACCATAGATTGGGTGGGAGTAGGAGAGGTCTCCTCCGCCTGCCGCTCACAGCCCAGGTGGAGACAGACAGGTAAACAGGAAATAACAGGACTGGGAGGAGTCCGGGGAGGATGCAGGCACACCTGGAGCCATCCATCCAGACCTGCTGGTCCGCAAAGGATTCTGGTCCTGGGAAGATTAAGTGGGAGTCAGCCAGGCAAGGCAGAGAGGAGGGGAGCGTGCTCCGGGCAGAGGGAACAGCCTGAGCAAAGGCCAGGAGGGAGCGAGGGAGAGAGGTGGAGAGGCGCCCAGGCCTCGGGGAAGGAGGCTTGGGTGAGAGAGACTGCACAAGCCCCTCCTCTTTCCGAGCCTCAGGTTCCTCGTGATGATGAAAACCCTGTGAGGCTCTTTCTCATTCATTGTCCTTGACCATCAGCCAGATCCTGGGATCCGTGAGCATCCCCCGTTTGCAGATAAAAACAGAGGCTCCTCGAGGGCAGTGGGGCTGGAATGAGACTCTTGTGTTCTGAGTCTAAACCTCGTTTCCCTATGAGAGGGCTGACTGGATGCTCTCCGAGGCTAAGCTCTGGGAGTCAGGGTTCAAAGCCTGCAGGACCTTGAGGTTCTCTGGGCCTCAGTTTCCTCCTTTTATTAACAAAGCTATTCATAGCTCCGCCTCATAGGATTGCTAAGAGGGTTAAAGGAGCTGCCACACACAAAGCCTGAGCATGGTGCTCAGCATACAGTAAGCTCAGTAAATCCCACCCTGCTTCCTGGGCCCTACATCTGAGACCCGGGCCGCCTGCCCTGGCTGAGCGTGGGTGTTCCAGCAGGCGGCCGTGGCAGGGCCATGTGCCTGTGCCTTTGTACTGTACACCCTGCCGCCGATGCCCAGCTTTGGCTGTTGTCACAGTTGGTGGTGTCAGCTGGGGAAGCTGACAGCACAGCCGTGCCAGCCTGGGAGGTGGGAGTGGGGCTGGGGGGAGGGAAGGGCTGTCAGTCTGCATTAATGGTCAGTCCTGAGCGTGAGGAGTGAGGGCTCCCAGCCCAGCCGAGACCAGGGCTGGGCAGGCTCCAGGTGCCTGGCTGTGGGTTTGGGACAATAAGTGTCCACAGAACCTTCCTCTTCTTTCCCCCCCCTCTTCCCCTCACACCCCGATTTTCTTGTTAAATCACAGCTTGGCTTCTGCCAGGCTCCCGTTTGGAGAGAATGTCCCCATGAAAGTTCCATCAGCTCCTCCGTCCTTCCACCTATGGCTGTGGGCCAGTCGGGCCCTGGGACCTTTGGTCCAACACGCCCGTGGCCGGCGCTGACCCTTTCCGTTCTCCAAGCCAGGCCCTGTGCTAGGGGCTGCTCTCACCCGTGGCTGCAAATCCATGACGTGCTCTTCATCATCATCCACAGTTTACAGAAGAGGGAAACTGAGACTGGGGTGTGTGTAAAGTGACGTGCCCAGGACCACGTGGCCCTTAAGTGGCACAGCCAGGGGTGCACCCGTCTGTTCTTCATGAGGAGGTGTTAGTGGCAACAATATGATGGTGGAGGTTGGAAGTGCTCCTCCTCTCCTGTGCTCTGCCAGGCTTTGCTGGTCTGGAGCAGGGTCTCCCTCCAGAAGCAGCAGGGCAGAGGATGGAGCACCCCGCTGTGGTGACCGATCATTACCACTAGGTGCCACCCAAGTTCTAGAGAAGTGTTGGCAGCCCTCCCTGGAGGGCTGGAGAGGAGGAGCAGTGGTTCCCAGCGAGTGGAGAAGTGGTGGAGGTCTGGGCTGAGATGGTGTGGCAGCAAAACAGAGCTGGACAGAAGTTAAAGCGGTAAACACAGATTTTATTCAAGAATGATTGCAATGGGGGA